AAAATCTTTTGTAATTATCTTATAGTACCCTACTTTATAATTCACACAAGGGCCATGAAAGTCACTAATACACACTTAAAGTAAGATTTTTCTGTTTTCCAGAACAGCACTGCTGTCCAAACATGTTGCATATTTTTTTCTTAACTCCAACACTAAAACACAGTGCAAACATTCCCCGAGTGAACACTTTTGCCCGAAGTTCACAGATGGCTCAGTAGTATTTGCTCATCCTGCTGTGATGTTGTCACACAGTGTTTGGGACTGGGAGCACCATATCCTCCTGTGTTCCCTTCGCTCTGCAACAAGAGGAACACTCACATACACACACAGAGCAAAAGAGAGAGAGAGATGCTGAGTGAAAAGTAGTACAGCTCCAGGCTAGAGTTAGTGAATGAATGAACCATTATAGTACAGCTTTCTGGGGCAGAACACACTCAGGAGGGAAGACAGACACTCTCTTCACTTTATTTAGATTCACTGTGACTGTAGGTCAATTCTCTAAGAGTATTTATCTGATTCAGGATTTAGTTTTGTTTAAATTGCAGAACAGCAACACAATGTATGGTATGTCAACTGTAGGTTCAGTTTATCTCAGCATGTTGTCTGTCTGTGTATGCATGTGGAGCTGTGCATTCAATCTATGTTGAATATATACATTAGATTCCTGTATGTGTGTGTGTGTGTGTGTGCCTGCCTGCGGAGCTTCACAGCCTGAGGCCTTCGGTTGAGTTTGATCCGCTGTGATGTGCCACTTTCTCTCCAGGGCCACAACTATTCTAGGCCCTAGTTCTGTCATGGTGTGTGTGTGTGTGTGTGTGTGTGTGTGTGTGTATACTCTTTCCTTTTTTGCGTGTTTGTTTCTCACCCATTCACAGCTCCTGTTGTCTCCAAATGTGTGTGCACAGAGGTGTTTTTTTCCTGTTCTGGTGTTCTGAAGCATACTTGTATGTTGTTTGTGAGCGTGTGTGGGTGTGTCACACACTCTGTGCCTGCAGGCTGACAACAATTGTTTCCCTTCATTCATTCAAGTGTTAACTGTCCATTCTATTATATGCATAAAGTACCACTTGTGCGTATCTGTGTGTTTTGGTTTGTGTGTAGTTTTTTTTAATGTGCGCGTGCCTGTAGTTATGTGTGTGCCCCCACTTTGACCCCGCACACGTGAGACAAACATTTTGTAGGAAAAGACAGATAGATAGAAGAAAGAGCTAGATGAGAAATATAAGTGTTTTTATAATAATTATGTGCTGCCAAAAGTGCCACTTTGGCCTTCAAGCAGTGTTTATTCTTTGGCCACTGATGTGCAGGGAACATCATTGTGTGCTGTTTTGATGAGTTATGAACCTGAAAAGTACTTTTGCAATCTCATTTCACCAGTTCAGTAGCTGCGCCTTTCAAGAAAGAGGATGGAGGAAAGGTTTAGTGTTGATGGACTTCCTGTCAGCTGTTGAATGTTTCTAAAACGGTAACAATTACAAAGGGTATGGTAACACTGATTATTCAGTATTCAGAGATATTTTTACTGCACCATGATGTGGTGGATGAACATAACTCAGCTTGTTGAAGTTCCCCATTGTTCACCCTTAAAGCTCAGACAGAACTTCAATGTAAAGTCACCTCTGTAAAGGCCTCAGCTTGACTGGAGGGGATCATGTGTGTGTCTGTGTGTGTATCTGTCAGCTACTAATCTCACATACTGCTGGACCCATCAGCCTCATATTTTTTGTGCATATTTGTGATTGCATGCTCAAGGACCTCTAGTGGTTGCAGGGTTTCACATTGTTAGCAACACCTGTTATGGACTGTTCTGTTTTATACTGCCACTGACTGCTGACTCCTCACTGCTCTTAGCCAGCTGGTAACTGATCAACAACTGCTTCAGTTTGGAATCTTGTTTGTGCTACGGACAATGTACGTGCACTCATGTTAGTGTTGAAGGATTCTTTTTTGAAATTTTTCATCGCTAGTGTTTTGGAATTGTTCCTGTTCAGATTTACATGCTGAACACATAGCCTGCCCTGCTCTTTTGTTCCCCACCCACATGCCCCCAGACACACCTGCTGGACATCTGTATCTGTACTCTTTTAGTTTGTTTTTAAAATCACAATGTTATACTGTTTGTGACATTTGCCATGATTCAGCAGAACAGACTGATAAAAGGCAGGTTTGGAAATCCAATTCAGATTGTGTCTGATGCTAAATATATTGTTGCTCGTTGCTTTCAAGCTGGTTGTCTTTATATATTATTAACAGCTGTGAAAGACGTATTCAAATCCAAATCACTTCACTCTCACACCTCTATTTCCATTAGTGTTAGTTTTTTAAATTTTGTTATTAAAAAATAATTATATGTTGTTTAAGTTAATCAGTCTAACCTTTTCTATTTACCAAATTACATTAGTGGCTGAATCTGTCTGATAAGTGAAGCCATCTGGTTCACTAGTTATTAAGGAAGCTTCATGTCTACAGGCATTGTTATCGCTGGTGTCCCACTTTCTAATTACAATGTAAAAAAAAACATTTACACACACACACACACACACACACACACACCCACAGACACAAACATTAGATGTCTTATCGGCCAGTTAACCCATGAGGCGACCTTAACAAGGTTATGTCATCTCTAATCATATTTTGAAGCGCACACTGTATGTGCATAACAACATTATTTATGTTAATGCTGACAGTGTTTGTGTAGGAATGCGCAAAACAGAGGCAGACACTGAGACAAGAGAGCAAAAAAGAAATTGTTAAAGAGAGGGAGGATTTCAAAGAGAGAGAAAAAATAACCTTTGAAACAATTCTCTCTTCCTTCTCTCCAATTTCCCCATTTTTCAAACACTGGGTTTATCCCATTTGCCCATTATGAAACTTAGAGACAAAAGCTTTCTAATCCTGGCTCTTCTGCACTGCCTTTGATGGCTGGCTGCGTATGCAAGTCAATGAGTGTATGTGTGTGTGTGTGCTTGACTACTATATTAGTGTGCTGGATTGTGTGTGTGTGTGTGTGTGTGTGTGTGTGCTTGGCGTTAGCTACTGCTGCTCTAAGCTGCATCCTGTGTTATCCTACAGCACTCAGTGGTGTGCATGTGTCTGCGCAAACCTGCCAGTGTTTGTGTGGGAATGTGTTTACATTAGATTCAACTGAACTGAAATTATCTCCGTGGGGACGTTGGGTTGTTTCTGCATCAAGAATAAGATAGATCAAAGAAAAACAGGTTCCACATAAGCAAAAAGGGCTTCTGCATGCAGCTGTCAGAAAAACATACAACAAAATGTGCAAAAGTGTCAGTTTAAAAGCAGAAACAGAATGTTGTATCAAAAGTAGCAATAGTATAAGTATAGCTAAATTAATATCCAGCCAGTATCATCTCCTTCTTCAACCCCCCCTTAGGTCAATATACGACAATGTTGAATCACATGTGGGAATACAACTTAACAAAAAGGGGGAAAAAAGATCCAGTCCTAGTTTTAGCTGGTCCCTAGAAACTGTCGCTGTCAAAGAAACGTGCTATTTGATTGCTGTCGGCTACAGATAATCTACATCGATAAGCCCCGCCTCCCCCTCATCCCTCCATCCTTCTCTCTGATCCCTCACCGTGACTTCCTTCTCTCACATCACATCTTTCTCACATTAATCATTTGTGTTTCTCCTTTTACACACACCCTTCACACACATTTTTAGGGTTAGTGTGCTTAGTGCATTCCTGTTTGTGTGTGTGTGTGTGTGTGTGTGTGTGTGTGTGTGTGAGTGTGTGCCTGAAGCATGCCTTCAGGCAAAAGCACTGATAGACCCTACACACTAAAACCAAAGCAGCTGGGGCAGTTAGAAGAAAGGATCCATCACAGCAGGAGGAAGCTCTTACAGTGCATCCAAGATGGCTGCTGTACTACTTCCTCAGAAAAGGAATCCTATGTGTTCAGGCACATGAGCTATGCTTCATATAATAATTCATGAAGAGGACTGGACATATTTCTGTCTCTGATTTCATGAATATTAATTTAATTTATGACTTAAATTGCATCTCTTTAAGATGCTGCATGAGAATCATTTTACCCCAGAGAGGATGCATGTAATGATGAAAGGCATTTTTTATGTCGGAGTTATAAGAAGCCAAGGGGTAGATTCTTCCACATGTTTTGGTCCTGTGCCCCTTCTAACCTGAATTTATTGAAACCTGCTGATATTTAATACCTGTACATGCATCATCCACTTTGGTTATTATGAACATCTAGACAAGACAGCTGGAGTTTACCTGATAATATATATATTGCTCTAGCATGGTTGTCTAGAATGGCTGTCACCCCTGTGATTGACTGGGAATCGACTCCAGCCCCTCTGCGACCCTCTAAGGATAAGTGTTGATAGATAATGGATGGAAATGTACATGTTACTTTTGTTGTACATTGTATAATTATATGGTAAGCATTGAGGGGCAATTTAGTAAGGGTCAAATATGAGGACCAATGGAGGCGCCCCAGTAGCTCACCTCATACCCCATATCAAGGCTGAGTCCTTACAGCAGCAGCCTGGGTTTAATCCGGCCCACCCCCTTTGTTGCATGTTTCCTCTCTCTCACCCCTGCCTTTCCTCTCTTACTCTACTGTCTAACCGACCAGCGTGTGAACAATTATACAATATTAAACTTGCACCTACTGGCAGACAGTAAATACAAAATTACAGTTATGATTTTTTATTTTAGTCAATGTTGAATGTTGTCACCTATAATGTTTAAATGATAACACATTTAAACAGAATCTAGATGCACAAATCTGTGTATTCATGTGTTTTTCTTTCTTTTGATGCATCTCCAACCTTCATCTCTGTCTCTTTCTTTTCCTCTGGTGAGAATTTTAAATCAGTGTTACAGTAGGGAGGCGAGCTGCCTGGTAACAGGTTCAGCTACCGACAGTTACACACAAACACACACACACACACATCCCTATCTCTGTACACACAAAAACGTACTGTATTTTCTGTGTGTGTGTCTCTGTAGGGAGTTTGGCTGGAGGGATCCAGAGCTGCCGGAGGTGATCCAGATGTTGCAGCATCAGTTCCCATCAGTACAGTCCAACGCTGCTGCCTACCTCCAGCACCTCTGCTTTGGAGACAACAAGATCAAATCTGAGGTATTGATCTCTGAAGGGAAACCACACCAAGAGAGAGGGCTTACAGACACGGAGGGTTGAATTCCAAAACTCTGATTGAAGGAGCGCTAACTCACCTTGTTACTCTCACACACACACACACACACAAACAAGCATTCTTTGGCTTTTATTTAGAGTTGGTGACTTCCAGTAAAGAGAGTTCAAACACACACAAAAACATACTTTCCCAGCATTTCCTCTTATATGCAGATAGGAATGCAGGTACTGCTGAACATTGTTTCTGGAGAGGTACGCTGCTGTTGAGTTTTTCAAGTGGAATCTTTTAGTGCTTTCAGTACCACAAGCAGGATTCCAGCAGAGAGAGCAGGTGGGTGTGTGTGCTCACCTGAAAATGTTGCTGACGGACACACCAATGGAGCATAATACATACATTTGTTTATTCCACCTTTAATATTCCTATTGTCAGTGTTTGTAACGTCATGTTTTAGTTAGTCAGTAGCTTCCTAAAACAAACCACTCAAAGGTAAAGTTTGACTGAGAAGTACGCCTATTTGCTCTCTCATATGAGAAGACTGCTGTCTGTACAGAAAATATAATCCTGTAGTCAGTTAGCTTAGCTTAGCTTAGCCTGGAAACAGTTTGGATTACAGTTAGCTTGTTCTGTCCAAAAATCCACCTGCCCATAATTAAAACTCTATTCGTTATAAGGAGTACGCGTCCCTAGACCTGCTCTATTTGAAAAGTGTCCTGAGATAACTTCTGTTATGAATTGGCGCTATACAAATAAAATTTAATTGAATTAAATTTAATTATTATATCTTGTTTAAGCATACACAGATAGCCAGGTTTTATAGGGTGTTATGTGCCAGACTATCTCTGCTGGACGCAGTGACTTCCTGGTTCCCTTGCAACCTCCCAGTCATGAGAAGATTCTAGGACAGATCTGTCTTTGCTAATAGGTTGTTTTCTTTTACTTGTTGTATATGAAAGTGTTGGCTTTCTCATTGCCTGTGTGTATCTGAAGGCAGCGGAAGAGGAAATGATTGGCTTGGGGGTACCACAGACTAACAAGCCAATCATCAATAGGGACCTCGCACGACTGCCTGCGTTTCAAATTATGGGAGGCATACGGGTGGTCCGTGAGCCAGTCATAATTACATAATGAAGCAGGTGTGCACATGTAATGGCAAAGACTGATGCCAGAACCTTGCAGCAGGGCTTACTCATTATTTATATGGAAATATAAATCCAGCTATACACAGAAGATTTTGTGTATAACATAAATGCCAAAAATATACATATTAAAAATGAAGTGAATGATGAGACAGGTTGTAAACCTTGCTGTTATTGTGATCTTACAAATGTAAGGAGGGCCATATTCATTCAGCATTTCAGCCAGAAGAAATTTATTAACAAATAGAAGTACAAAACACTGCAGTGCAATATATGAAGGTGTTCTTGAGTAAGTAGATTTGACACCGGTCTTTATGGAAAGGGAAACTCCGTCCTATGTGTGCAGCTGTCTGAGCTCCACCAAACTCCATATTAGCCGGCATTAACTCCTCATTATGCACACTTAACCCAACTCTGAATACAGCCGTGTTCCTGCAGTCCGTTCTCCTGTCCTTTAGAGCCGCCATCACCCAGTGTCTCGGAGAAAGCGGTTCTGTCTGTCTCTTCAATGTCGACTCAATTCAGCTCAATTCGACGTTATTAATCCCCATGGAGACGATGGATCTGAGGGCAAACAAAGTTCTTCAAACAGCAATCAGCCAACAGGCATTAAAAATAGAGTGGGAGAGAGACGAGATGACTGATGTTGAAATTGTGTTGAAGAATGAAGTATGGCGGTATTTAGAGCGGGGCTGCCAAGACTACAACCCACAGGCCGAATAGTTTTTTGCCCTTGAGTGACATGCCTGAATGGTGAAATAATAGACTGGATGCTGAGGGATATGTATGGCCTATTGCCTCTTCAGTCTCATAGCACCGGATACACTGTACAGATGTGGGCTGTGTGTTATTGTGTGCAAGGCAAGACTGAAAGACAAGTACCTGACAATAATAATGGCTTTAATACATTTCTCCAAAATGATTGTTGAAACGACTTCCTGTTTTTCTTTATCTCACATCATTATGAAGTGAATCCCTTTGGGTTTTTTAATGTTTTCCAGACATAATAAGCCACTGGGAGACAATGCCTTGGACTTTTGAAACTTGTAATGACAATTTGTCACTTTTACAATTGTCACAATCCTTGGGGATTGCCCAGTCATTACAGGGCCTGTTACTTGAGGATCTAACATCAAGTTAAACATGTAGTTTCTAAATAATCAGTGAGATATTGTCATCTACAGGGAGCTGCTGTTAAAAGGCTCCATGCTGATGTATCTTTATCTGGAGCACAAAGGACAAAATGTATAAGCACAACTGCCTCATCTCGGTGCAATCTCCTTCACTAAAATGTCTCTTTTGTTTTTACAGAAAGCAGGCTGTCTGCCCTACATTTTCTCTTTGTCTAGACGGAGGGAAGCAGGGGAGGGCTGCAGACGCACAGGGGTGATGGGAAAGAAAGTGCTGTGGCTGGCATTTTAATAAATCTTGCATCAGTGCAAAAGTAGCCACTGCACTGTGTTTATTTTGTTCAAAAACTAGAAATTAATATTTACACAATAACATAACACATTTTCTCTGACCACAGTATCGAGAGCAGGAAATTCTTATTTTCTTTAGTTGAGGTAAACAAGCCCTAATGTTTTTAGATATCATATACTGTGTATACACACCAACAGGCCTATTGTGGAGGAAATAGATACGCTTCTGTTATTCGTGATCCCCCTGCTGTTCTCCTAAATTCTTCCTCCCTCCCCTGTCCTAAGATCCGGCGGCAGGGTGGCATCCAGCTGCTGGTGGACTTGTTAGACCACCGGATGACCGATGTGCACCGCAGCGCCTGCGGAGCCCTGAGGAACCTGGTGTACGGCAAAGCCAACGACGACAACAAGATCGCCCTGAAGAACTGCGGGGGCATACCGGCTCTGGTCCGACTGCTCCGGAAGACCACAGATGTGGAAATCCGAGAGCTGCTCACAGGTAAAAACCACAATGTACAAATATTTAGATTCTACTGAATGTGCAGCAGTGGTGGAGATCAGACATTGAGATCACAGCATTTCCCTGGAATTCTTTCCATAATCTACTCCTTTTTCTGGGAAAAAGACCTCAGGGAACCAGGGATTTTTCTAGCCTGTGTTTGCTTTGTGTGTCTGTGTGCACCTGTGTGTTCAACTTGGCAAATTTTAGAGTTGCAACCATCAGGGATTTTACAGTCTGCTGTTAAAATATGTGTTTAATTAATGTCAGTGCAGACTTTAAAACAGCATTTAGAAATCTATATTTAAATAATAATTTCTCAATAATGTCATAGGACGTTTCCTGGCAAGTGCTATTCAATGTGATAATAATTATAGAGTAAATAGAGACAAAGTCCTTAGACAGTCATTTTAGTTTGAATCTAGTTGTGTTGAGTTTATAGCAACCTTCCACTGGAAAATGACATAAAATTTAACTAAACAAACTAAATGAATGATGAACTTGATTGAAAAAGGGAACGTTGGGGTGACTTTGACTATTGGCCTTAGTGTTTCTAAATGAAGACAATAAGAGTATATATTGAAAAACAGCATTGACATTGTGATTGACCTTAGTTTGATTTTAAGAGAGACTAAATATGACAATACAATGTAAGAAAAACAGAAAGAAGGTCATTTTTTTGATTCATTATCTGCAGTTAATATATGGTGAGAAATCTCAGCATGAGTTATGTATTCCTGGGAAGTAATCATTTAAAAGGAGGAAAACCTTCAAGCCTTATGTGCACATACAGTCCTGCATACAAATGTACAGATACAATCCGCTTACATTCATATGCTCTCAAATACATTTGCACACACACACACACACAAACACACACACACACATGTTGTGTCTCATGTACAACCACACACACTCTGCTGAGAAACATTCATTGAATATCCAGCGTTGCAACACACAAACCACATTGTATTATACATGCACATTCTCATTTACACAGATGAGGTATACAAATACAGAGATATGCACACACACACACACACACACACACACACACAAAAGAGAATTGTTTACCACCTGCCTGCTTCCCAGCACTCTGGCTGACAAGTGCTGTTGACTTGTCAAACGGAGATTCTGTGGAGAGGGCTGCACTGCACTTGTATCCACAGCAGGTTTTTATTCTCCGTCAGTGAACACAAATATCATCCACATTGTAAAAGATGTATTCAGGTTTGATTAATTTGAGGTTCTAAACCCACCGAGGTCCAGGGTTGTAAACTCTCTGCCAAAAGGATTAAAGGATTACCAGCAACCAGTGTTTTTACAGCTTTTACTGTATATATCCTGGCAATTCCTTTCTAATTGGCATTCACACGGACGGCCACGGTACTGTAGAAAGACTTTCACCTCTGGAGAGGGATGGAGAGATGACAGCGCTAAAAGAGGAATATCACTTAATTTTCAAACTGATCTACGTCCAGAATCATCTAGGGGTTTATTCCAATCCTGGAGCCAAATGAGAAAAATGGATTTCTCTTACCAGCACCCACGCTCATGAAAACATCTCTGCTGCAGGCCCGTAAGGAGCATGATATTTCAAGCCTCGACAGATATGTCAGAATCCAAGATTTTAGTTATTTCTGCTTTCTAGAACAGTTAAATCAGTGTGACTTAGGATGATATTAAGAAAAGTGAAGCAGAGCCTGTACACAGTAGACAGTGATCTGGCTTCAGGTGGGAACAGTTTGGTTGTAGGGACTATTATAATTATGATATGGCATCAGGGCTGATCAGACCAAAGTCAGAGCAATTCTGTTCCTTGCTGCGCCAGTAGTTGGTGACAGTCACTGTAAGGTGTTTAATCATTTTAAACATTCAAGCATAAAAGTTAATTTTTTATCGTGGAAGCAGGAAGGTTCTTCATCAGCAGGTTGAGTTCATTGAGATGGATCTGTTGCGAGCAGCTGAACAACTTCTCATCTTCAGACAGGAAGTCCTAAGTCAGAAAAATGAGATGGATGAAATTCTAATCTAATCATCTAACATGAGTTTTATCAAAACTACAAAAGGTGACAACATGAAGATGTGAGTATTAAAGAGGTCGAAATGGTAAACTATATTAAATGCTGATTAATGTTCTTATCAATTACAGTAAAAGCGTTGAGATGATTCACTTGTTAGATAATAATCCTCAAGAAAGATTTTAAGGACTTTATCTAGCTCAGGAAATAGGAGAATTTTCTCAAATTCACACTTTTTAGTTTTGATTCAAAATCTTTGTTTGGGTGATAATATTTTTTCACTTGGACAGGGGCGGGGACATATTAAAAACCGCGTTTATGTAACTAGTAACTTAAAGCTGGTCAGCATTAATTGTAAACAAGATTTCAAAAGCAGGACAAGTGGCCTAAAATTATTTCACTCACCTTTTGGTTCAAAATTTAACTAAAATACGCACCTTGTAGAAATGCATTTAGTTAACATTCTATGTCTACCGGGTAACAAGATTAACACTGTCTTTTACTTACTTTTTGCTTGCCTGCCACCATTTGAAGACCTTCGTTGTTGAGCCGTGAGAATAAAACTTTTGTCAGCTTGCACGGTACGAGGAATGTGAGGGCCCCATATGACTTCGTGTTTGCCTTCTGGGCCCCCAAATGACTAAATTTACGGCCCCTTGTTTTCTGACTCTTATGAAGTTCACTGTCCTTTCCAGGCGCCCCTCCCCAAGAACAGTCTTAATCCCCCCTCATTTTCTCCAATCCATTGTTTTCCTTTCAAGTGAAGCGTCTTTTTCCTCCATTTTTTTTTGCTTTTTACATGCATACTGCGGGCAACAATTTCAGGGCAGCAGGACTGAAAGGAATGTCTTGTTGTCTGTTTTGATTATTGGAACATGATTATCAGAGGATTTTGGAGGGTTGCCTTGATGTGCACTCTATCGTCCAAGTGTGTTGTCCCTGGAACTGTTCAAGACCCAAAAACACCCATGTTTGAAACATTTGGACATGCGAGAACAAATATGGATGTCCCAAGCAACATTAAATTGCAACAAAAATTGTTTTCAAGGCACAAAACAACTTTCGTGGGGCATGTCACCACCTTAGAGACTTTTGGGATTGCGTTTATACTATTATTACTTATACCCAGCTGTGATACAAGGTAGCGAGAGACATTTGTATATAGTCCGTCATTTAAACACGTCCAGATTGTAATAGCATCAAGTTCAGTGACATGTTGAACAGAGGCTGGTATTACAAGCCTGGTTATATAATGCAATTTTAATATAGCTAAAAAAATATTAT